TAGACCCATTGGAGTGACAGGGTGTAATCGATTTCTATTTTTTTACTCAGATTAGGTCATTTGCAGTGGTTTGCAGTAAAATTAATCTAGTTTCGGGGTGTATGATGAAATTTATTTGGCCTTGAAAAACATTGCATCATCCTTAATTGCATCAAATTTTCATAACGCCCAGACGCTACTGTCTCGACTGTCGATTAATTGTCCTACGGACATCGCCTGCGATGAACGTTACTCGAAAGAAGCGTACGAAAATTATAAATTATAATTGAATATCTACAAGTACTGAAGATGCAGACATTGTTTACGTCTGCACGAACACAATGGCAAGCCTTATCAGTGAGCAAATCAAAGTACTATCAACTGGCTCGGAAACTCTCTTGATTTAAATCCAATCGAGAATCTGTGGTCAATCTGCAAAGAACGACTTCGTTGAATGGACATACGAAGTAATAATATGTGCACAAGGTCATGTTTCATTGGAAAAATACGAAAAAATAATAACGGAATTATTCGTTTTGTTTCAATTAATTTGCACAAGGGTGTAGGTGATCATGGCCTTCCACATCTTCCTGTATAATTAATTTGCACCAGGGTGTATATAAATCGTCTCTATGATGAGAAGGATGGATATGGAGCTCCTGTCATGTGACGGAAATCAAAACATGTTGATATTGTGACGTATTTAGGTGTGTGGCAATGAACTTAAAGCCTCGAGACCGTACCTAGAGACTTCATCTGATGGCAGTTATGCCGGAAATACATTCTGCAACAGTTGTTAAATACAATTTATAGAGATAAAAACTTTTGTTTTCAAATTTTTATCGTGTCTGTCTTGGGTTACACTTAAAAGCTTATTCTAAATTAATCATCACCCATTGAATTATGAAGGGAAATTTCCGACCCCAAAATTAACATGTGTTTCTTTTCACAGTAATAGAAATTTACATATTTTATGCAAGGTGATTTTCAAATATCTTCTGATTCTAGTTAAGAATGGACACTTTTAGATCATTGTGTCATTCAAGGTAAAGGGTTACAATAGAATTAGTAATGAATTTTGATTAGTGATATGTGTGAAAGAAGTGAAGATTATGAGGATAAGGAGGATAGACAATGATTGGCCCTTGACTTGAAAGGGATAACATTTTAATGTAGATGGTTATTGTCAAAATGCTTATGATAAGGATGATAGCCAGTAAATGACCCTTGACTTGAAAAGATGAAGATTTTCACCGTTTTTTAGTTTTGTTTTTTTTTTTGTTTCTATTTTTTCTTTTTGTGTGTTTTACTGTTTTTTTGTTTGTTTTTGGTTTTGGTTTTTGTTTTTTCAGGTTTAAACTGTTGTCAGAATTCCACAAAAAGATTAGAATTTTATAAAATTTTCGATGTGGTTTTCATATTTTAACCCGTTTAAGTGAAGCAGAAATATCCGTTATTTAAGCTATAAAAATGCCGTGTTAATAATTTCCGTCGTTCGCAGTCAGCATCGATTATCTATTTAAAAGACAAATGGATAAAAGCGAACAGATGCGTTATACTGAGTCTATAATTTAAGAGAGTTATTGATTTCTTGCATTGTTTACATTAATCGGACTGATATCCTCATCTTCATTGCCATCTTCACAATGTTTCCGCCGTTGTACGCTCTGGTCTTCTTCAGATGATTGGAATTTCGAACCGAATCCTTTATTTTGTCCACCGAGATATTATTGATTTCTTGCATTATTTACATTATTCGAAATGTTATAGACCGTGGTAGATTGTCCAGTGGATAAAGACGTTGGTTAGATCCAGTGACTAAACCCAAAGAGTTGTGAGTTCAATACCAGGCCCCAGCAGTGGTGAACGAAAAAAACTTGGAGAGCTGAGTTGAAGGGAAAGAAGTGACATTCAGAAGAGGCATGGCGCGTGGAACTAGAACAATTTACCTAGGTGGACGAAATTTCAATTACCTGAAGAAGGCCGAAACGTTGTGAATGTGGTAATGAAGATGAGGATAACAGTCCGAATAATGTAAATAATGCAAGTAATCATAATACCTCATCTCAGAGATATATAGGCCGAAACGTTGTGAATATGGCAATGAAGATGAGGATAACAGTCCGAGTAATGTAAATAATGCAAGTAATCATAATACCTCATCTCAGAGATATATAGGCCGAAACGTTGTGAATATGGCAATGAAGATGAGGATAACAGTCCGAGTAATGTAAATAATGCAAGTAATCATAATACCTCATCTCAGAGATATAGAGGCCGAAACGTTGTGAATATGGCAATGAAGATGAGGATAACAGTCCGAGTAATGTAAATAATGCAAGTAATCATAATACCTCATCTCAGACATATATAGGCCGAAACGTTGTGAATATGGCAATGAAGATGAGGATAACAGTCCGAGTAATGTAAATAATGCAAGTAATCATAATACCTCATCTCGGAGATGTATAGGCCGAAACGTTGTGAATATGGCAATGAAGATGAGGATAACAGTCCGAATAATGTAAATAATACAAGTAATCATAATACCTCATCTCAGAGATATAGAGGCCGAAACGTTGTGAATATGGCAATGAAGATGAGGATTACAGTCCGAATAATGTAAATAATGCAAGTAATCATAATACCTCATCTCAGAGATAAAGAGGCCTAGACATCCAGAAGGGGTATGGCACGTGGAACTAGAACAATCTACCCCGGTGGAAGAAATAAAGGGTTCGGATCGAAATTCCAATCATCTGAAGAAGGCTAGTGCGGGCAACGGCCGAAACGCTTTAAATATAGCAATGAAGATGAGGATAACAGTCCAAATAATACAATTAATGTAAGTAATCATAAAACCTCATCTTAGAGGTATAGACAAATATTGAAATAATGGATTTTTTTATTATTTATTAATGCCACAGATTTTATTAATTGTTATTTTATTGCATATGCATATTTCAGTAGACGCTTTGTTTATTTATTAAACAGTGTATTTATTTATTTTCATCTACCTGCCTTAATATTTCATAAATCTTATTAAAGCATAATATGCACTCTCCAGCAGGATTCGAACCTGTGTCTTATAGGACAGGAGAAACTGTCGTTCGAGTCTATGCGCTTTAGACCGTCTATAATTGATAGAGAGGAACTTTAATTTGTCCCAGCATATCATTCTCATTCAATTCAATACCGAGAAAATAATTTGTTTGCGAGATACGAAAAAGAAAAAGTGAATGAAATTCTTCGCTCATGAAAGTGATTCCCAGTATGGTGACATTAATTTGAACGTCATCAAGACATTCAAATGACACCAGGGAACAAAATCGACGAAAGGATTATTGTCATATGACACTGATGAAAACCCGCCATTTTATCTTCTCCATCCTGAACGCCATCTTGCTTTTCATCCACCCTTTTCTCTTCCTCTTCACTCGACAATAAATCCCAATTAATCCGTCGGAATTTAGAATAGACTGAACGAAATAAATAACTTAATGAAGAGATTAGGATAATCCCGTCATCAGGATAAGGGTTACATTTCTGTCTCGAATCCAAAGTGTATTAAGTGATGCATGGGTTTGCTGAAAAGTTCTCTGCCGAACCAAAAATGGATTTTAAAAACATTTGATTGGTCAGTTGGCTCGATTTCGGTAAGTAGGTCTTGCTCAGAGTTTTTTTTTTTCAGCACAGTCCTATTGGATAAAAACGAGTCACAAGCTAAAAACTATTGATCAGCATGTGCGAGGGCGCTTAAAATTCGTTAGTTTATAAAAGGCTGTTTGCTTCTGACTAAATCGGAAAGTTAAATTCCATTCGACCTTCAGCAAACATTGAAACCATAAAATTCTGCCTCTACTTCACGCTGCGAAAAACATAAGTTGTTCGATATCTAATTTTTCAGATCGATGCCGACTGTCCATTAAATTTTGGAATAATCAAAATTACTAGAAATACCAATGAAAATTACTAGAAATACCCATGAAAATTACTAGAAATATCCATGAATATCACTAGAAATACCCATGAAAAAAAACTAGAAATATCCATGAATATTACTAGAAATACCCATGAATATTACTAGAATACCCATGAAAATTACTAGAAATATGTTCACCCTGTATAATACCTAAGGGCCACTCGAGGTAGAGGGTTAGAAATTAAGAGGCAAAGTTTGTGGAGATATGTGAGGAAGATAAAGTTATCTTGAGTTAATGACTGAATAAGCTCCTGGCGAGATCCACGACTATAAAAAAACAATGAAGTCCTGTTAAATATTTAACGAGATTTTGCAATAAAAATCATCAATATGGATGCAGGTGATTATTTAAATAAGCAAAAGGGTAGACGTGAAACGATTTGGCATTGACAAGCAGACGTTAAACACTTAACAGAGTTATCGACCTTTCTTTCTTTCTTTCTTTCTTTCTTTCTTTCTTTATGTTTCTGGCTTAGGACCACCTCACGTTGAAACATCGTACGTTCGCCGAAGTGAAACAACATCGTAGCCGGTCAGTACCCAGATAGGTTACTGCTTGAGAATATCACGTGCTGTTAGCTTGGATGTGCGGTTGGTGTTATGGATAATGGCTCGGAATTGTTAATCGGAGGGCCGAGTACGAATTCTAATCGAGTTCGTTATATTCACTTAGGCGGAAATACCCCTGGGGAATGTATGAATCCACCTATTCTCCCCACCAGCTATGGGTCAATTAGTTTAGACTTGTATCATTAAACCATTATTATCCCCAAAAATAATCTAAAAATATTTTTGGCTTTAAATAACCTGCATGTGATTGATAGGCCGTAGAAAACGAATCAATCAATGCATCACTGAGTAATCTCATTGTGAAAAGGGATAGATAGATAAATAGAGAAACACACACACACACACACACACACACACACACACATATATATATATATATATATATATATATATATATATATATATGTAGGAATAAGGATAAATAGACAGATAGATAATGAAGAAATGAGGATAGATAGATGAGAGCAATTCACAGATAGATAGATAATGAACAGACTGAGATAGATAGATAGATAGATAGATAGATAGATAGATAGATAGATAGATAGATAGATAGATAGATACGAAGGAACGAGGATAGATAAATAGATAGATGAGAGTCATTCAAACATAGATAGATAGATAGATAGATAGATAGATAGATAGATAGATAGATAATGAACAGACTGGGATAGATAGATAGATAGATAGATAGATAGATAGATAGATAGATAGATAGATAGATAGATAGATAGATAATGAACAGACTGGGATAGATAGATAGATAGATAGATAGATAGATAGATAGATAGATAGATAGATATGAAGGAACGAGGATAGATAAATAGATAGACGAGAGTCATTCAAACATAGATAGATAGATAGGTAGATAGATAGATAGATAGATAGATAGATAGATAGATAATGAACAGACTGAGATAGATAGATAGATAGATAGATAGATAGATAGATAGATAGATAGATAGATTTCGGTATTAAATAACCAGTAGAGGTTGGTATGCCGCTAAACGAAAACAAACATTTTGTTTCTGACTGAAACCAAACGGCGTCTCTGCTATGTCTTCCGTCTTTCCCCGTGATCAAAACGGAATCGTCCATTATTCATGAGGTTTTGGCATGACATCCTCCGTTATAACTAACTAAAGAGCAAACAAAATTATAATATGATAATAATTACCTGGATATTGGTTGGATAGTGAGAAAAGTAGAATATTTAGATTGCATTCATAATAATGGCACGCTTGGAAACATGACAAAAACACTAAAATCGATATTGACTGAATTCGAAATTAGAGAAAGAATTGAGACTGTCCAGACACCAGTGGTATTAACTGGTCTGTACTGATATTGATAAAGATACTAAATTTGAGTTGAATTAATTTCACTCAGGATAACCAACGCACATTTGATGTAAAAATGTCACGTCGATCAAAACGTTTTATGTGATTGTTCACTCATTAGAAGGCCCGAGGTAGAGTTGTACGAAGTGAGGTTTTTGAAAGGGGGAACCAGAAAAGAATAAGAGGTACATAGGATATGTAGAATAGATAACAGTTGACTCCCAATGGAGTGCTTCACAGATCGCTACAATCTTAACCTGTTCAAATCAATAGTTGCAGTGATCGAGGAAGCACTCTCTTGGGGGTCTTTTCTGCAACGTATCGGTTCTAAAGAAGAAGCCTTCTGGGTGAATATGAAAACAATGAGGATGGTTCCAATCAGTGTATGTGTCATGGCCAGTCCTAGCTGTGAAGGTCAGAACTGGCGGAACTAACTATGGAATGTCTGCCATGAGTGGCTATCAACGTTTCGTTTCTATTTACCTGTCCCCTACTGAGTCAGGATGCAAGACAAGGTCAGTTTGTTTCAATGTGGGGAACCCGAGTGTTTCCACTTGGACCACTGGTCTTTTCTTGTCTTAGCTAGTCATAGCTTGTCTTAGCCAGCCAAGAAACTACGCTACGGAACAGATCCGAGGATTCTGTCCAGGCAGCGGGAGTGGAGTAGTGTTGGGAGACACCCCCGGCACGGAACAGATACTACAGCTGAAACATCTCCTCTATCCCAAGATTTTTCCCTTCCCACCGTTCAACGTTTCGTCTGTGGGAAAGGGGTGATTTTCTAAGCGTAGCTTAGATGTGGCACAAGGCCGAAATTATGGGATACCCAATGAGAATCGAACTCACTGCTCAGTTGTAATTATTCTAGCGGGACATGCCTGCTAACCATCATACCACGTTGAGGTGCCCCTGTCATGGCTGCGGAGTGAGCAGTTGGCAGCTTCATCCAGATATGATCGCAAAGCTCCATTTTGGTCAGATCTATCATTTGAAAAATAGAATATGGAACGAGGAGTCAGGTACTTGCTGAAGCCGTACAGGGAACCGGCCTTTTTTGCAGCATCTTTAGCGATGGGTCTTAAATACGGGTTCCACTTGAGGTCCGGTGTGAACAAGCCCCAATAGACATTCCGGGCAAGGTGCATCCGCTTGAGGGAAAAGCCGTTCATTTATGGCTAGAATATTCAGGCTCTGTGATAATAAAACATTACTAGCTTACAGAAAGTAGTTTAAACTCTAAATAAAGAGGTAAACTTGAGTTGACTTGCATAAACAACAAAATCGTTTACGATATGATGCATCCGAAAATCACGGATAATGGATGCCTGAAGATGTTAAAAGTTCATAAAGAAGGCGATGTAAAACTGAAACGTGGAATAGAGGATGTCAGAATCTAAGTGAACTCATTTTTTTAAAAATAATTTCGCCCCGTGCAAGACAATAAAGCCACTAAGACGCAGGTGTGTGAAAGAATATGAGAAAAAGAAAACATTATTAAGAAGAGAGAACAAAAAAAGGAAACAAAAAACAAACAAACAAAAAAAAAGAATTATGAAGACAAAAGTTAACGATTGTTAATATTGCAACCAAAATGAGCATGGTGATTAGAATATAAAAAGCATATAATGAAACAGATACCTGAAGAAGGCTGGGGTGTGCATTAGCTGAAACATTGTTAATTTTGCAACCAAAATAATCATGCTGTTTAGAATATAAAAGCATATAATGAGACAAACATCTGAAGAAGGTACTAGGGTCCGGCAGTTGAAATGTTCAATATAGCATCCAAGATGAGCATGTTGGTTAGAATAACCATGCATAAAATAATAATAATTTGTAATGCGGAAAAAATACCGGCAAAAAATAAAGTTTTTTTTAAATAATTGTTTTTATAAAACATCTTCCTCTTGTTTTTTTTTTTTTTTTGAAATACATAGTATTTATTTCGAAGTGTATTTGTTATTCTTTACTACACTAGTATAGAATGCCGTGGGACGCCAATGATGATGGGTCTCTCTATGTATTCGTCTTCAGTGGATTTGTTAAATTGAAACAAATTTTTCTGCTACATTTCTTTATGAAACTCTGATGAACACTGACGGAATCAACTTGTCGGATATCATTGTATTATGAATTATTTCGGTTGTATAGCAGAATCCAAAACTTCTAATGCAACAAGAGGATATTTTTTTATTCGCTCTTCTTTACCATAGGAATCGTTTCGGTATTCTTTTGTTAATAAAAAATCATATTTTCCCCTCTGATTTTCTCATTGGGACCAACATTTGCAGGAGCCACTGCTTGGAGTGCATAAAAGGGTTTTGTTATCAAGAGAGCTCATAGTAAGAAAAATAAAACTTTTTCTAACAACCGATATATTAATTGGTAATTTTTTTTATCCTTCCCTATCCGTTACTGAGTGTGCTTCTTGATTATGTCTAAAGACAAAATACAGCGGCCAACCTTTTTTATTTTTTTTCGGGTGGTTGGGTCCTACTAGCATCTGCTATGTTTAGTTTGAACGTTTTGTTATACTTTAGTTTTGTTTTCTGGGTTCATTCCTTTTGGCATTAATTCATGAGAATATATTTTTATAAATTTAAAATAAAAATGGAAAAGAAAGACATATGAAGTATTCCTACATATTGAAATTTTACGTCATGGGTTTTTTTTTTATACATTTTTATACATTTTTATGCATTTTATACATTTTTATACATTTAAAATAAAAATGGAAAAGAAAGACGTATGAAGTATTCCTACATATTGAAATTTTACGTCATTTTTTTTTAAATACATTTTTATACATTTTATACATTTTTATACATTTAAAATAAAAAAGGAAAAGAAAGACATATGAAGTATTCTTACATATTGAAATTTTACGTCATGGGTTTTTTTTTATACATTTTTATACATTTTACACATTTTTATACATTTTTATGCATTTTATACATTTTTATACATTTAAAATAAAAAAGGAAAAGACAGACATATGAAGTATTCCTACATATTGAAATTTTACGTCATGGGGTTTTTTTTTTATACATTTTTATACATTTTACACATTTTTATACATTTTTATACATTTTATACATTTTTATACATTTAAAATAAAAAAGGAAAAGACAGACATATGAAGTATTCCTACATATTGAAATTTTACGTCATGGGTTTTTTTTAATACATTTTATACATTTTTATACATTTTATACATTTTTATTACATTTCATACATTTAAAATAAAAAAGGAAAAGAAAGACATGAAGTATTTCTACATATTGAAATTTTATGTCTTGGTTTATTTTAGGTTTCCTTTGAATTTGTGGTATTGTATCTGTAATATTGAATGGTGGAGGGTGAGTTTTTGCGGTGAATGAGAAAATTCTACTGAATGAATGGGTCTTGAATCAGATTAGCTAGGTCTAGGATAGAAAGTGTCGACCAACCTTTCTCCATTTCCCCCTTGTCCTTGTGCCACATTTATTTTAATTAAGACAATAAATATATCATTTCATTGATAAAACTTTTACACACACAGACACACACACAGACACACAGACACACACACACACACACACACACACACACACACACACACACATATATATATATATATATATATATTATAATTATTTTTAAAAATATGATTCCTTCGCTACATAAGAGTTCTCATGTTTCAAAAACAGGAGCCAAAAACTTCAATGTAATTATTAAAATTAAATTGAATTAAAGTGTCAAGCTGTTTCATCCTCAAGCGAAATTTTTGGAATAGATATTTATTCGTACGATGGTACAAAATGTGGCACACGGCCAAAAGGGGGATTGGGGAAAAAGGACAGTCTTCTTCTGTCTTAATTCTAAACTTTGCTAGTCACAAACACTGACCAAAACATATCAACAGTAGTCCTATCAACAAAACAACACATTCTCTCCTACCTTTCTTACTACATTCACCATAATACCTCAATGTCTCTATGAAATCCTAACTAGTCCCCATATGTACATTTCAAAGTCTGTGGGAGGGGGGGGGATAAAAACAGCAATTTAAAAGAAGCCAATGATTATTTACAATATGAATGAATACTATTTACATGAAAACAAAATAAAATAGGGTTAGTAATACCCCCCCCCACAATCCCTAAATGTGGCAGAAACATCAGTTAAGTGGACGGAAAAATTGCGGGATTATAATAATATAAAAACAATCATCCATCCAAAAAACACACACACAAACACGCACTGATTCACTCACAACAACAAATACGAAAAAACACACGCGAAACGAAAGGCATCCAGCAACAAACAGAGAACTGACATCACTGACCGCCTAAAAGAGGGAGGGGATGGGGAATTAAACTAAAGAAAAATAGGGACAAAAATAAAAGGGGGCCAATGAGCATACATAATTTTTGGAGTAACTAATCTTGAAATTTACGCATCTTTATAAGCATATTCATTCGTAATATTAATTACTATGGAAACGGCTGAAGCAATTGTTTTAATAAGGGCCGTAAGGGTTAACAATTTGTATCAACATATTAGTTACTTTCGGAAAGAGGTCAAGTCTAGGTAGGGTCAGGATGTCTATTTTAAAGCCGATGATGACATTCAGTAGACGCATGTCGTCTAGTTTCTACTTTTGTATTGAGCGCTGTTTTTT